AAAAAAAAAAAAAAAAAAAAAAAAAAAAAATTATAAAATAATTATTAGAAGTTTGTGTCCTCATTAATTAGAAGATATTTTATATTTGTCTCAACAAAATGTCTTCTCCTAGGAATTATTGTCAATAGTAAAAGTACACTTTAAATTCTATAATTGGAAAAATATAAATTGCGATATGTATATATATAATTCAGATGTTAACCAAACAGAAGAAGTTTGAAGATTTCAGTTTTTTTTTTTTTTTTTTTTTGTCTTAACAGAAATCTTTTATTAGTTCATCCTTTTTAGTTTGTATAGGAATAGCGAGTATTCATTAAAATATCTCAAAATGCCAAGAATAAGGAAAACTCCAGTTTAATGCGAAAAATTATTTGAATGTGAAAAAAAGGGAATAAAATGTAATATTAATAAATAATATAATGCTCACGTAAAATGATAAAATGGATTACGCCTAATAAATTAGAACAAATACAATTTATAAAAATTTGAGTATAAAATTATAATTATAATTTTTTCATCGCATATATTTGATTATATGAATTTAAAATGTACTTTATATTACCATATTTTGATTGGTGTATAATATATAGATATCTATGTGTTTATATGTATATATATATATATATGTTCATCACAATTGGTAAAAACAACATCTTAACAAGATTGATATATTTGTCGTTGATTTATATATAATGAATATATATCAAATTGTAATTTAGTTGATGTTTTCTTTATTTATAAAGCTTATTCCTTACATTGTTTTTTTATTTCTTTATATAGATTATATTCTTCTGTTATTATAATACATTATATATACCACTGGTTTTATGAAAATTAATTAACTTTTTTTTCTTTTAAACCATAAACATATTTGGGAACTATATTATAAAACAAGTATAACCTTTATTATAAAATAAATTTAACAACAGTATATTTTAAAAAATATATTCCTTTTATTAATTATATTTATTTTTTGTGTACCATACATAAAAGAAGGCATGAAATTTTTCGAATGTTACCCGTTTTTATACACCTGGTATATGGGAATGGCATATAAAAATAGTTCAATAGATTTTATCTCCAGTAGTTTTATTATCTATTTGATGTGTAGAAGTATTACATATACTTTTTATTCTCCTTTAATCTTTTACGGAATATTACAAATGTTCTAGGAATGAATATATTTGTATTCCACTGCCAAAAAATAACATACAGTTCCATTAGGGCTATAAAAGCTAAAATGTGTTCGAGTAAGTATTTCTTTTTATATATTCTCAGATATGATTTTATCCTACTAGCATGGTAATTATTATGTATCAATTTTGACATACTTTTTTGTATGTCTTTTGTTCCTTATGAAAGCAGTATTTGGAACACTTGAGTTTTTTGTTAGAGAATTTGAAATAGGGGGAGAGTTTTGTTTTTACTTTCTCTGCTAAGTGGCCTTTTATCTGACATGTTACTATTTTTTTTTTATTAGAAAAATAAATACATTTTACATTTTTGGTCTAAATTGAATAGCTATTTATTTAGAATGAACTACTACGTTTCATAAATGAGCATCAATTTTCAGCATAATTATTTTGCAAATGTGCATTATATGATAACTTTTTTTTTGCATTAATGAAAAAGGACCAACTGCGGACAGCATACATTTATGCGTTAGTTGAACTATAATCTGTTTACTGTTTTAAAATAATTGAATTTTTGTTCTTGTTCATTGTTTCTCAAATTTGTTTTTCTATAATGTGTGTTATACTATCATTTGAGCTATTCATACTGTATCGTAGTCCAACTATTCATTCTTTCGTAACGTATTAGACTATTTCTAACGTTATGATAAAGCAACATTTTTGTGTTATTTGTTTTTTTAAAAAAAATGCCTTGATTATAATTAGGATAACTTTTTATATGCCACCTTTACTAATTATTTATAATTCCTTTCACTTATATTGATTGTAATGGACGTTTTGATGGATAATTCATTTCGTGAATTTGATTTTTTTGTATTAAAGAGGTAATATATACATTGTGTCAGATGTCAAACATACAACATATAAAGGAATGCATTATATTATGTTATATATATAATGAAATGAATATTGCTTTAATAAAATGTATTGCAGGGTTGCATATTCATACAATTATGACTTTTTACATAACCGAATGGAATGAAGTTTAATGAATATTTTTGCACTAATATTAGAAGAAGGGTGAAAGAAATAAAGATTCAATTATTTGATACATTCGTAAAGCCATATATTATCAATAGTTGTATTAGTGACACAATTTTTACTTTACTACCCGTTTTTTTACAGAGATAAATATAGGATTTACGTAAAAGGGACTAGTATATATATTTACATAGTGTGATCTTCACGGTACGAGATGTATGTATACATGTACACATAGGATAAAAACCTGATTAACGTATAAGGCTTCTTATATATTTAATCAATTTACGCATATTATTTTGAACAGGACAATAATACACATATGAATTCGATTCGTGAAATTACGTATGTAATTTTATATTTGCATATGAGCAATATTCAACTGTGTGTTTTTACTTATGTTATATAATTAAACAAAATAGAATTATATTATAGATTTACGTAAACGTCCTTTTCAATATAACCGTTTGTACGGCAATAGCACTTTTATGGAATGTGCTAAATGTTTTTCAGTTGCATTATTAATGAGGCAATTTTCTCAGTAAGAACTGAACTATTTTAATATATTCTCATTTTCAGCGAAAAGTCATTTCATTTATATATGATAAAAAGGATATGTTACTTCCATTTTGATAACGCAAAATTTTCACGCAATCTAAATTTTTTTTTTTTTAATATATTACTCGAAACGTGAAGCAAGTGAACGTTTCAAAAATACCACATATAAACCTATTCACAGCATAAGTTATTTTTTTAATAACAGGAAAAAGATAAATAATTATTAAATATTATAGTTAAAGCAATGCCGTAATTCTAGCAGTACTATGAAATGAATTAAATGATATATTTTCTCTAATTTTATTCTTTGTATAACTTTTTTATATAAGTCACAAAAAACATTTTCGCCCTTTTTAAATTATGGTTTATATGTGGCAAAATGATGCAAATGCGATGTTGAAAAAATATATATATATGTGTTTCGATGATGAAATATGAGAAGAAACCTTTTTATAATAGTATCATTTTCTGTTATATGATTTAATAATGTAGCTTTAAAAAAAAAAAAAAAAAATGTTATGTGGTTTTATACTTTTTACGTAGCATATGCCCAGTAATAATACAGTATTATTAATTTCATAATTATCTACAAATTAGTTTGCAAAAAAAAACAAAAAAAACAAAGCGCCTTTATGTAAATACCCAATTAGTTACCTTTTATAAAAATTTAGTACGTTAAAATTTTTACTTATAAATACATGCCCCATAAAAGGTGTCCTGTAATTCTACAACAGAATTTTTCTAAGGGAAGAGTATATTCTATATAAATATTCGACTTCATATTTTTTAATTTTACTCTTTATGATATGCGAATTAATATAAAATGGTTTAAATATAAATTCGAATCATTTTTATATGACTAATAAAGGGTAAATAATAACCCTTGGTATTATAAACTATATATCGCGGACAATAATTCAAACAACTATTTTTTTTTTTATATGGTAAAAATGGTACTACTGTTAAAACTAATTAATGAAAAAATGATACCAAAAAAAAAAAAAAAAAATACATGCATATTATTTTTTATGCTCTAAAATAATAAATTATAGGAATGCATGAATTAACATATTATAAAAAGCTGTCTCAGCGTCTTTGTTGTATTACATATTTCTATTCTCTTGTTCTTTTTCGGACAGATTTTGTCTAAAAATGAAATGGACAGCACGAATAAAAGAAAGTAAGCTATTTTATAAATATAACAAAAATAATACATGAAAGAAAAATAAATTATAACATAAATGTAATTGCAACAAAATTGTATTATAAACTAGCCATCATACCGAAAAACTAAAAAAACGAAGGCGTGTATTATTAAAATTAGAAAAAAAAATATTCTTCATTCCGGACCGACCACTCACGCTTTTTATTATTTTTACATCCTATTTTAACTTGTATTACAAGAATATTATTCTGTTTTTTGCATGTAACAATATAGCTAATTAAAAAATAACTTTTTTTTTGTTTCTAATTTTATTCAATTTGAAAGCTACAGAAAACATGCATCTCTAAAAAATACATATTTGCAAATAATAATTTTATATCTTTTTTAAAAATAAAAAAAAACAAAATATAAATTAAAATAAAATAAAAAACATATTTTTATTTTTTTTTTTTTTTAAATTATTATTTTTTTATATTTTATTGGTACTTATCATAAAATTTTCTACAAAACATTCTTACATTAAATTTCTTATATTATTTCGCATACTTTTTTATTATATTGACATTATCTATGTTTTATAAGTCAACCAATTGGCAAAGTATTAATTAAAAAATACAAAGAAATACTTGTTCTTATCTGAAAACGCTTCAGTCATTCTAAATTATCAAATACCGAATATATAAATATATTTTTGAAGGATTACCATTTTATACTATTTCAAAATGAAAGGATTATACAAGATTGTATGTTTAGCCGGTTCCTTATATGTTTTATCCAACGGTGTTGAGGCATCTGGTCTTACTGCAACTGTAAGATAGACCAAGTGAAAAAAAATTATTATAAGAGTTAAACATATACTAAAGCTGTCCAATATAACAATAATCCCCTCAGCCCATTCCTAGTTTTAGGGATAAAAAGATGCACCTGTATTTATACACAAGTATATATATGCATAATACATATATATCCACTTATGACTATATATATTTTTATTAAAAACGTTCGTTTTCAGGCTCCTGAGAATGAGAAGATCTACGAACCATACATTCCAGGCAGTATAAAGAAATTGGATGAGGAAGGAGTACACAACGTACACGAATGGAAGATGAAAAAATGGTCAGAATTTATGAAATCCATGGAGGGAGATTTTAATGATTTCCTAGAATATTTGAAAAATGAAAAAAATAGCTGGTTAGAAAAAAAAGGTGAAATGTGGGAACAATGGAAAGCAGAAATGGAAAAAAAATGGGAGCAGTATAAGGCAGATACTTTTAATGAGTTATTGGCCACTGATCAAGAAGCCGCATTGAACTGGAGTGACGATGAATGGACAAACTGGGCAAATACAAAAGGAAAAACTACATTGAAAGAGGAATATGAGAAATGGATTAATGATCAATATGAGTTTTACAAAGAAGGTATTGCTAATGATTGGAATAATTGGAATGATTTCAAAAAGAAAGAATTTGAAGGAATCCAATGGAAAGCTTGTGAAGATAAGTACTGGAAGAAATACTGGCTTGATATCAATCCTGGTGATAACCTATATGAAATCAAGACGGGAATGTATAAAAAATGGCAAGAAAGAGTTCAAAAAGAAGAAGAAGAATGGGCAAAATGGGTAGAAGAAAAACACAAAGCCCATATTGATGTAGAATGGGATAAATGGGAAGAATGGAAAAAGGAAAATAGCAAGCACTTTACTGAGTGGATGGATGCTTTTTTCCAAAAATGGATAGAAAATAAACAGTGGAATGTATGGACACAAGCAAAAAAAAATGTTGATGTAGTAGAAAGCTATTAGGTACATGAAGTAAGGAAATAGTAACTGTCTGAAGAAGGTATATGTTATTATATATACACCTATAAAACAGAATGAACATCAAGCAATGGGTGGAATGCCATTACTATTAAGGAGATCACAAAAATAAGAATTATATGTAGAAATACAGATATGGTACTAACAAAATACATCAGAGGAAAAGCGTATAATATAAAACTTTTTTTTATATTTTGATAAATATGATTTGTACAATTTGTTATTAATCGTATATATATGCACCTAATTCTATACTTACTATGTTTATAGTATGTGTTTTTTTTTTTTTTTTTTTTTTGAATAATGTGTTTTCGTACGTGTGTCCTTTTGTTATTTGTAACAAATATAATTTTACACGAAATGAATTATCTATCGTTTTTGTATTACAAAGTTATATACTTTAGATATTCTTTGCAAATAATTCTGCTTATATGTCTTTTTATAATTTTGTTCGTATGCATATTTTATAGGAATGTTTTTTTTTTTTTTTTCATTTTTTATATTTTATTCCCAAACACACACAAACAGGTGCAAAATCCTTTCGTTCTGATAAATTGTTAAATAATGTGTTTTGTTATGAAAAATATAGTATATGAAATTATATTATTAGTTAAATTATAAAATACGGTAGGAGAACATGTGTTCTCATCGAATTTTATGGTTTATTTCCTAAATTAAGGTAAGAAACAGAATAGTTCAACCACTCCACTAGTGCAACCCTTCCTTTATTTATATGATTCGTTCTATACTTTTATATAAATTATGTATACAGTACTCATTTATTTTTATATTTATTTATTTTCTTATACAGTTGTAATTTTCTTTACGATATTTGCATATTGAATAGTAACCATGTACGGGTGGTTCGATTACCTCACCCGGTTATATGTCAGATAACGCCAAAAGTGTGATTTATTCACAGAAGGATGAATGCTACATTTCACCCTTACGTTTGCATTAGGCATTCTCATATTTTTCACATTATTCTATTTGAATCAATTTGGATCACGATTATGTGAGACTTTATAAAAGATGGAATTATTATTATTTTTTTTTTTCTACGCATCTATTATATGATTTAGCGTTGTCCAATTTTTTTTTGGATGTTTTCCTTTGTTTTCATTTTTGTCTTAATAACACTTACCCTTTTTTTGTATAATTAATACTTGCTTCATATTTTAATATATGTACTGATGTCCTTTTGGTATTAGCCGAAAAAACACACGTCCATTTGAATTGTTGCTAATTCTCACGTTGAATGAATTCTATTTATTGCCTCGACGTCAGTTTATCTACGTGTGTTGCGTGTAAAAAGGAATTTTCTTCCCTTCTTTGTATTTTTTTTTTATCAAAAAAAAAAAAAAAAACCATTTCATAGTTAATATAAAAATGACTATTATTAAACTATTTTCGTGGCTTGTAAATGTAGAAGAGCAAATGCAATTTTTAAGAACTATGACATTATTCTAAGCGGAACAGGTGTTCGGGAAGGAAACAATTTTTACAGAGTAGATTTATTTAAAATATTTACATAGCATACATAAGTATCTGTTCGCCCATTATATTGCGCTTTAATTGAAGTAATTGATTTTTTTTTTTTGTAGTATAAACTCTAATCTCTTATGTTTCATATACTTATGACTGTTACACACTTTGCGAAGGAATGGACGCAAATTTTAATGCGTGTTTGTGATATCCCTGAGATGTTCTTTAAATCACATTATGTTCCTGTTCAATTAAATAAATGAGAAATACCATGATTAATATATATAATTAGAAATGCCTTTTTACAATAGAACATAAAAAAAAAAAAAAAAGTGACGTCATAATTGCAGGCAACACAAGAGGGGGAGTAGTTTAACGTTTAGGATAAATTTAACACAATGAGCAAAGATGTATAAAAAAATTAGGCAGAAAACAATAACATAATAAAAAAAAACAAGACTGTAGATAATGTAAGGAAGGATTATCCATGAATTGAGCAAAACGAATTAATTACTAAAAATCATTTTGAATAGAAAAAAAGAAGCGTATTCATACCAGAGTAAAAATGAATACATTCAACAAATGAGCGTCGCCTTTATTGCGAAAACATTCTATTAATGTCTTCAGTAGTGTGATTTAGTATAAAATAGCGCTACACTTATTCGCATCTTCAAAGTACCCAATATCGATTAATTATTTTCTATGCAACTCCTTGGTGATTTATGCTATCTCTTAATCATTTTATTATTTCATACATATGTTCATCATTTGCATAACGCAATGTAACTGCTGTTGTTATTATAATACTTTTAATGCCGATAAAAGGAAATTAGAATCTTTGAATGCTTGTTAAATTAGCAAATAACTTTTTACACCTAAGTGTTAAAATTGGCGATAATTTGTTTTACTTATTGAGAAAGTTTGCGTTATACCTATATATATATATATATGTGTGTGTACATCTCTTTTTAATATACAAAAAGGCAATATGGAATCAAGTACATATGGGGAAAACGATGTGTTGCAAGATAATACTTCGGTATTAGAGGAAAAAGAAAAGGCAGCTAAATCATGCTGTGCTAAGGGGAACAATCTCCCATGTGTTCTATATACATTTCTTGCTTCTATGGCATTGACGGCTGCTCTTTTGAATACTTGCTTCTTAGTAAGAACCAAAATTGTAAAGGAAAGTATGTATATGTACTTTTAATTTACTTTTATTCATTAGAATTATAATAAGAATTGCTTTATTCGTTTTAAATTCAATTTAGGCGTCTCTTATAGAAAAGAACACAGATGTGGATAAGCCAGTCTGTTTGGTAGGACTGGATGAAAAAGGGCTAGAAGAAGAAGAAGAACGGAAAAGGCACACTTGGAATAATTGGATGATAACATTGGAGGAGGATTTCAATGAATTCTATTTTTTGTTGGATAAGGACAAAAAGGAATGGCTTCTCAACATAGAAGGGGAATGGGAACAAATTATACAAGAAATGGAAAATAAATGGACGACTGATGAAAAAAGCTTAGACAGCAGCGGTTATGTATCTGATATTCTGGAAGAATCATCAACATGGAATAATTCCCAGTGGGAGGATTGGATTAGAACAAAAGGGAGTCAACTTATGGAAATTGAATGGGAAGGTTGGGTTAATGAAAAAGATTCCTTGCTTAATGAGATGATTGTGAAAAAATGGATTGAGTGGAAGAATTCAAAAATAATGTCATGGGTTACGAGTAAATGGAAAACTGATGAAGACTGTTATTGGGCGGATTGGGAAAAAAACAAATCATACAAATCGTTGAATATAACAGAGAGAGCGAAGTGGCTAAAATGGAAAGAAAGAACCAGTAGAGAGTCTGCCGAGTGGACAAATTGGATTAACATTAAAGAATGTGTGTACATACATAACGAGTGGAATAAATGGACAGATTGGAAAAATAATAAAAGAACGCACTTTAAAATATGGAAAGATTTATTTATTGACAAGTGGGTTAAAGAAAAACAGTGGCTTGCTTGGACATTAAAGCGTGACAATCAAATTAATGATACACCTTAAATGCATCCTTTCATATGTGATATGTAATATAAAGAAATTAAGAAAATTGTTGTCATATGGAGGAAAAATGAATTTTATCCTATTTACATACTCTGTTAGAATGGAATAATAAAAAAATGGGATATCACAAAAGTACATAGAAAGGATTACGTGCAAAATTTATCTCTTTAGGTTTACATGACTGTTTCTGTGTGCATCCCGAAACGGAATATATATGTACATATATTTATGTATACATATAGACATACAAGACAACATAAGTATTTTTTAGTTTTACCTAGTGGTCTAATTATATTCACAATTTTCTAAAGGTTTGCATAATATTAATGTATCATTTACAGTTGCCCTTAGAAAATAAAATATATTACATAATACTTTGAATTATTGGACGGGGAGTTATATGGTGGAAAGAATTATATCATTATAGTTTAAATACAGCATCCAACATATTCTTGCAATAATTTTATTTTCATTATCATGCCGGCTGCTGAATTTTTTCTTAATTTGTAATATTATAAATAATTTTAGTATTTAATGTGATTACATAAATATGCTATTTTTACCAACTATATATATTTCATTCTTTTCATCTTATTGATGATAATGAAAAATGTACTATGAAAATAGCATGTGGCATTATTTTTTTGCAGCCATTATATTATCTGTCCACAGGTACGTAAATACGCGCACATACAAATTTATATAGGTATATTGACAGTATGCATATATATAACAATACGTATTACTATTTCTTCTTGCTTCCATAAAGTCTGTTTAATAGCTATTATTAAAGAATGCTTAACCTTCAGAAATTAGTTTAATTCAGTTCAGTTCAATGCAATTCAACTGAATCTTCGACATTTTAAATGTTCACATGAAAACTAAGAAAAAGTATCAAATTAAAAGACCTAATTAAGCATAACATAGGAGTCTGAATGATGCACATATTAATATATAGCAAAATGAGGGTTTTAAAGAGAAAGGTGTACGCATTTATTGTCTAATTATTATTATTATTATTTTTTTTTTGTTTTGATTTCCTAAAAATGGGATGAATTATTCACTTGAAAAACGAAAAGTAAGAAATTCATCAAAACGGTGTAAGAAAAAAAAAAAAAAAAAAGCAAATGTAAATTGTAATTATATAATTTTGAACATCAAATTGAAAATAATTTTTTTCATAAAATTTGGGCAACTTTTTAATGTAAGTTATATTACGCATGAATACAAATATTTTTTTTCTTTATTTTTACGTAAGCATTTACTGGTTAATGAAAATGGAAAAAACAAATATATTTCGATAACAAAAACGTACGCACCTAAATATTGCAAAAAATGGACTATGAAATATTTTAAAATCAATTATAATTTAAGAAAAGAATTGTATGACAGAAAGAAAAAAAAGAATCCTATTTTTTTCGCGTCAATTTTATTTTTTCAAGATTTACATAATTCATATTTTTACTCTTCCGCTTTTTCACGTTTTAAAACAATTTTTTCTAAAATGGGGTAATGTTTTCTAAACCTCCATTTTTAAATTAATATGTTTTTCTTCATTTAATATTTATCAGTGAAGAAAGCAGAAAGAATAATAAAATTAGCACATATAATGTTAGTACCTAAAATCGTTTTTATGAAAAGGTATTGATATTAAAATATACGATTTAATAAATAATACTCTCTTTCATTTTATTGAATTTACCTGTTTAACGAAATACACGAAAAAGAACGATATGAAAAAGCTGCAAGTTGACAATGGATTGATTGATTATTATAATATCATCCCGTCCTACTTTTACATTTTTATATATGAAAAATTGAAGCATTGGAATATTTATGAATATGTTCTTTCAGTTCTTTCATTTTATAATAAAATTGTTATGTGCAGAAATCATTCATATGTAGTTTTTTTTTTTTCTTTTTTTTTTTTTATAATTTAATACTTAATAGCATTAATTAATATATATGTGTGAATTTAATTCTATATTCATCTATAATGAATTAATAAAGATGAAAATTAGAACGTTTCATATATTGCTATCATATGTGTATATGACATTTCGTCTACATATTGATGACAAATTTAGCAATCATTTAATTATATAATCATTACAACTGATATATTTTTAAGTACACATTTTCATTATATTTGGGGCCCTTCCGTTTATTTGTTTGTCTTTATTCTGATGTAATATATATCTTCTTGCTGCGTAATGTATTTCCTTTTCCGAAGAGAAACTAAAGAAATATGGAAAGGATGTCAAGTGTTACATTAAGGTGAATGAATATGATTCAGTATTTTGCTGAAAAGTATTCGAAATTTTAATTGTCATATGGGTTTTATTTTTGTATAAATAAAATAGCCATAAAAGATGGAGTCAAGTAAAGATAGTGGTAGCATAACTAACCAGAAGTCTTCATTTACCAAGTTAAAAGTTCATCAAAGTGACATTCTATTTTGTGTTAATGTATCATTCTTGAAGTTCTGTGCACATTTTGTCGTACTTGCTTTTGCCCTATACATTGTAATAAAACACTTTTTTCCGGTAAGAAAAGAACCACACGCACAAAATGATACATGTGGATAGTTTTGTGTTATTATACAACCTAGTCCAATTATAATTTTGTGTGTCCCAATATGTACATATATACATACTTCCCTATTCTTATATATTTTTAAACTCCTAATATGTTCCTTTGTTTTTTTTTTTTTTTTTTAGTCTGTATTCAAAAAATTAAATAACAAATTAAACAGCAACACGTTAAATTACATAAAACATGAACGGGGCTATGTAGACGAGTCCGAGGAAAAAGCTAAAACTGATCTAGGAAATGAAGATGTGTTTGAAGATGCTCATGAAGAAGTATACACAAGTCTAACAGAAATAAGCACTGGTGAAGGTGCTATTGGTGTGCTAGAAGCAACAAATTGCGATAAGGAAAAAGAAGATGAAAAAGGAAAAGGTGATAATCAAATTCAAGAAAGTGAAACGAATGTTGCAAATATATATACAAAATATAATACAAAAAAAAATGAAGAAGTAAAAAATGAAGTCAAAGAGGCAGATTACATTTCTATGGTAGAGGGAAAAGACCTAAAGAAAAAGGAAGAGAGTGATGATAATAATGCTAAGGAGGGTGAAAAATATAATTTGATACCAGAAAATAACGATACAGTAGTAAACACCTGGGAAACATATTCTTGGAAAAAAAAAGGAACCAGCACCTATGGCATAAAAGAGAACGACGAAAAATTGAGTGATAACGCAAAGAATGATCAAGATTTAACAGAAGCAAAAGAAAATAATGACAATGAAGCGGCATATAGTATGAACGTCAAGAATATTACGAATAATGTGGAAAAAGGAGTAGATGAAAGTACTAGTAAGAGAAAAGGACAGGGGAAAAAATATGTCTATAAGAAAAAACCAAAGAATTTTCAAATAAAAAAAGAAGAGCAAGACAATGAAAGGCCAGGCACAAGTTATAGCTCTCAAAGAGGTGAAGGTGGTTGTAGAAACAGAAGAAAAATGAGTTCTGTTTCGCTACTAAATGTACGAAAAATTAATGAAAGTGAAACTGATAACTATGAATTAAAAGTGGGTGAAGGAAACATCCACTATTATTCCGAAAATGATTTATCAAAATTGGGTGAAAATGATGAGGACAACACCGTTTCCATTAATGATAAAATGAAATTGGACACGAGGAAAGTGAAAAAAAAAATAGTGAAAGGGAAAAAGAAAGACGCAGCGAATGAAGACGCAAAGGGAAAAGACTTAAACAAAAGAAACTTGAAGAAGAACAGGAAAAAGGATCCAAAGGAAGAAGAGGACACATCAAAGGACCTAAAAAGGGCAGTTTCATTAGATGTCATTTATAACAATGATTTGGAAGCAATGGACGATGAAATAGAAGATGATAAATCCCATGAATGGAAAATGAACGAATGGAGTAAGTGGCTAATTAAAACTAAAGAGGATTGTGAATTCTTTAATACAAGCATCGAAAATAAAAGAAAAAGGTGGCTAGAAAAAAAGGAAAAAGAATTCGACGTGTGGCTAATGAATTTAAACAATGGGTGGATGCATTATAGAGTAAATGAAGAAAATGAATACAAATCGAAAGCCATGAAGAACGCATCAACGTGGGACGACAGCCAATGGGAACAGTGGATTCAAACAGAGGGGAAAAAAAGCATGGAAGCAGATTTGACAAAATGGTTAAATGATAATGAAACCTTTTGGTATGACTGGATTTCTAAAGAATGGGCTCAATGGAAAAACATAAAAATGCTTCAGTGGTTATCAGTTGATTGGAAGCATAAGGAAGATGAAACTTTTGGACATTATAAATCAAGCAAATTTATAAATATGTTACATAAAAAGAAGAGGAGCAAATGGATGAAATGGAAAGAAAGGTCAGATAAGGAAAAGGAAGAATGGAATAATTGGATAAAGAGCAAAGAAAATTATTATTTAAATTATAAATGGGATGAATGGTTAAAATGGAAAAAGGATAAGCGCGTGTTTTGTGGTCCACAGTTCTTGGCCCTCATTAACAAATGGATAAGTAACAAACAGTGGACAGTATGGATTGAGGATCAAAAAGATGCAACGTTGTAAACAAACTGTTACAATTATGGGAGTGGTGAAGTTAAGCGGTTTTAGCAAATGGCATTTTTTTTCGTACATTACGCATTTTACAGTGACCTATATAAAACCGTAACCAGAGTGAAAGTTATGATTGGTGAATATGAAAATAGAATGCATAACATGTATAAACCGTACAGTCCTTTCTTGTAGCATTGTTCTTGTGTATTTCTTCAGTGTGTTAGTAATGCACCTGTAAAGGAGAAATAAAAGAGGATTACAGGAAAAACAAGTTGCAACAAGTGTTTAAAAGGGATGTATCATACACAACTCATTCCATATTGTTATATGCATACACACTTATATATATGTATATAATACTTCCAGAAGGATTACGCTATTTTCTTTTTATATTTATCTCTTAATATTCATTTATGCTTTTATATTGGGCTCATATTAAACGCTAAATTTTCCTATTTCATATCAACTTAATATTTATAAAATAGTATACGCATAAATATTTTTTATTTTTGTCTTGCATATTATACTTAATACGCATTAAAATATCATTATTTTTAATGTGTTTTTTTGGAGTATTTATATATTTTGTATTTATGTTTTTTATGTATTTTGCGCCAATTTTTCCTTTTCTTCCCCTCCGTTGTTTTTATTTTTTTATTTTATTTTTGTTTTGTTACTTTTAAGTGCATGCTTATGAATCATAATAGTTCTTCGTTAGTAGATAAAAGCAAAAATTGCGTATTTGCAATGTTTGTGGTTATATTTGTTATATATGTAGTTATAGCATTATGTATAGCTATATATGTACATATGTGTATATGTCTACAATCATTTTTACAGCCACGGTTAATATTTTATTTTACTGTAATGTTTAACCATAGTTATCCGCTATTTCGTTATTTTTTATTGGAGACTATATGCTGTAGGAGCATAATGTTTTTCGTATTGATTCATTACTATACAATTCGTGATGAGACCCATATTATTGAGTTTCACTATTTATTCCTCTTTTTTTTTATATTTTTTGTGCACTTTCTTGTACACCTATTTTATGGTGTGTCGTAGAAACTAAATATGTTTTTATTTTTTGGAAGAAATTCCATATCAATCTTTCACAATAGAAAATGAACCTGTGTATTTCTTATTTCAATTTTTGCAATTTCTGCACATAGACAACATAAATATTACTTTTTTGGGGCTTCGAGGGAATTTAAAAAATGCCATGACTTTTCTACACTAACGGATCTATGCATATTCCTTCGAATTTAAAATCTAAAATGTTTCTATCTTTTTGTCCTTTTCAAGACGTTCAAACGTAAACAGACCTAAACCAAATAAAATGTTCGTGTCTTAATTTAGTAAAAGTAGTTACGTCATGCCGTAATTCCAACAATTTATATATATGTCAACTACCGGCAATTTATATTACGATATTGTTGTTAAAATATGGAAGGGGGGTAGAGTTAAAGAACAAAAATGTGTATCAATATAATATGGGGGCACATATTTATTGTATGTCTTCTCATGTAATATTTCGTGAACTTAATTCCTTTGCTAACATAATATACTTAGCAGCATCCTTTTTGAGAGATATATAATACAGATATAATGTTACGCGTGTTCAAAGCGTGGCGTTTGTTCCACTACTACATTTGATAGAAGTCGAAATAAAGTGCAACATTGGAATATGCTCGTTATATGTAACAAATTTGGAATGGGGAAAATGGAACGACTATTTTTCAATATATTTCTAGGAGTATAATTTAAAAAAAAAAAAAAAAAAAAAAAGAAAATCTGTTTGTACGTCATAAATATTGTTTATTATAAATACAGTCTAATTTTAGTAAAAAAACCTTTCTTTCGTTATTCTGTTCTTTATTTATTTTCTCTTCAACCAATAGCTGTACAGTACACATTATAGTTGAAGCATATATTAGGGAAAGTTATTAAAACAATGTATTCAAATTAAAACAAGAGTTCATTGGTAAAATGAGAAACTAATGAAAGAATTGTTGTTCTTTAATGCATAAATTTGTAAAAAGCATTAAAATGTTGCTATTTAAAACATTTTTTACTGGCAATATGCTCGATATAAATCGTGAGAATAATGCAGAACAACAACAACAAAAAAAAAAAAAAAAAATTAGAGGCAAAAGGTATGGGTTAAGAGGCAGAATATAATATGGTATATAAAAACTATAAATTCTACTATATTACAATAAATATTATCATTTGGTGAAATATATATACATATTCATGTTTCCTACCTTCTGGACAAAATATATGTTGAAATATTACAAATTTGTTTTGTTGGGCACTAAATATCTTTCCACCACGGTATCTGCATCATAGCTTGGGCTATTTCAACTTGGCCCTGACTGAAGAGCTCTTCTCTTAAGTTAGTGCATACAATTCTATACTCTTTAATCAATATCATAAGTTCATATTTCGTTAGGGGTTTTTCGTTAATGAGATCATTAATGAGGTTTTCAAAATAATTTTCTATGTTTGGTAGTTGTTTTATTACTATTTCATCAAAATATTCCCAGATGTTTTCTCTAAAGTTTTCTTTTCTTACTTTATATTTCTTCTTTATTTCATCATATAAGGTAAAAAAGTGATTTATAACATCATAAAATTTATTTACTTCATTTCCACACATTTTCGACCATACGCTACAAATGTCGCTCCTATGTGGATATAATGCTAAACAATTTGTATATTCGTCTATGTCTTCATCTGTTAACGGTTTTGCTTCTTCATGAGTATCCTCTTGTGTGTTATTAAATTCATTTTCATAAAATTCGTCCATGTTGCTTTTATTCTTTTTTTTTTTACGTCCGCCAGAAATTATTCTCGCGACCATTTGTTCAACACCACGCGTCTTTTTCTTTACTTTATTTCTATCTAATCTGCCATCTTCACCTGAATATGTATGGGACAAATTCCTTAAATAATGTGAATGCCTTGAACGCAGTTGTGAATTGGGTGTATCCAGAAGCAGCGATATGTTCTACGTGAAGGTGAAAAGGAAGTTCGAATTGACGTTATGGTTTTTTGTTTTGCGTTCATTGTATTATAAGCAATAAATAACTGTCTCCAATAAGTTATTCTATCCATATAAATAATTCCCTCCAATACATGAACGTAAAGTAAAAAGGTAGTTTAGCTTAGAAACATGATCTATATTTTTTACCGGTAGCATCAGGTAGACCATGAAAAACATGGATGCAATGGATTGCCCAGGAAGGAAAAATCTTGCAAAGCTTCTGTTAGAAGAATTCATCTTTAAGACACGGAATATCTTTTTTGAAATATTCTTAGTAATTTAGATTTATTTTCCTTTCTTTATTCCACGATACCTTCACAATAAAACATAAATTTTATATCATATAATGCAAGATAAACATATTATTATATTTTTAAAACCATGAAAAATAGAATGTTGACTTGCATGCAAATTTAATCAGTAATAATTTGATTAGATTTTCTGCACTACATTATACATAAAAAAGATATTATATATCATTCATAATGCTACGTAAAATATAACACAGCTGAAATAGACATACTAAAAACCAGCAAACTTAAAGGACAAAAAAAAAAAAAAAAAAAAAAAAAAAAAAAAAAGGGATTATATAAATATATACATTTCTAATACACACAATAAGAAGAAGGCTCTTTAAACAAAAAAATAAACATAATTTGATATCCTTAAATAATGTTAGTTTCGGTTTTGTCTAAATATAAAATATGATCTTAAAAAGTATTGCCATTTCCCGATATTTCTATTATCATATATATATATATATATACATATATAATTAATGAAAAAGGGGAACCTCAATTCATGTTAAGTTTATAAATAAATAATTAAAAGGAATATACAATTTAGTTCTCCACGTAAAGGTCGCTCATAAGCCTCTAATGAAATGTTGTTCGCAATTATGTAATATAATATAGAACAAACAGGTAAATTTTACATATACTTAAAATGTGTGTGTAGCTACTTCGAAAAAATTGTTTTCATATGAAATGTATTATTAGAACTTATTGGCAGTAAATTGTTCCAATAATAACGATTATATAACTTAGAATTATAGACACAAAAAAAAAAAAAAAAAGTGTATATATTTTTTCATTCACTACGGCTTCATCTCCGTAATAAAAATAAGGGAAAGAAAAAATTTTAAATACATATATATTTTATTAATGAATTTAAAAAACATTGATCTACAAAGAAATGTAAATATTAGAGAAGGAAACGCACATTATACGTAGAATGGAATTATATAATAGTTCCATTTATTTTTAAATGGAAAAGGAGCATAATAAAAATTTCCAAAGTAAATTTCATGTAAGTGTAAAAAAAGCTTATCCCCCCTTCACCACAAACTTAATAATTTAATACATCAAATACATATACAATATTGCATGTTTATTTACGAATATAGTTAAATTTAATAATATTTAAGTTATCTAATTATAATGTTTTACTTTTGCTCTTTATAATTTAGAGCAGAATAATTATAAATTGATTAACAAATATTCCAAGAAGCACTTTTTATTAGAAAACGCAACAATTCATTTTGATCATAAAATGATGAATATTTAAAATAAAAGAGGGATAATTATGAAGTGTTATAAATTATAAAAGTATTAAATATATTGAACTCTTTTTTTTTTCTGGCCATGCTTTTAATTTGTATAATGTATAAATGGCATAGAACATTTTACATAATATATATTTTATAAGATTCTTCCAAACGCTAGGTTCAATTGGGGGTGTATAAAAAAAATCAATTTTTCTGTTTAAAAAATATAGTATTTTTATCAACATCTATTTTTTCCTTTTTTTTTTTTTTTTTTTTTGCCATTTGTATACACCAGTTTAATTTGTTTGGAATCTTTTTTTTTTTGTTTTTTGAGTTGTTTTATGCTCACATCTTTTATGGTAAATAATAATTTTTATTTCATCAGATCACGCAGGATTAATTTGTTATTATTGTACATAATGGTAATAAAAATAAATACAAAAACAAAATTGTGTATGCATAAACGGAATATATTTTAATTTTCTTTTTGCCATTGTTTTAATTATGATGCTTTAATTATAACATTATTTTTAGGATTGTGCAATTATATAAGAGGCTATGTGGAAAACTGTGTAAAATAACAACAAAATTGACATTTTTAACATTATGCAGAATGTGGCACTAAAATAATATTTTAGGGGTTTCATATAATAGGAAACGACAAGGTGTATTGATAAATTAGAATCCTTTTTTAGTGCTAATAAAAATACGTAACAGAATAATTCCTTATGTAGCATTTTCCACGTGTACGTAGTTATAAAATTTATGCGTACATATATCTCGATTACAAAGCTGTAACATATGGATGCTCAACCTGTTTTAATAAACAAAAAAGAATTACTTGGAGAATTCGTGATTTGTGCTTTGCAAAAATTATTGTGCAGGGCCTAGGGTCTAAATGCTTTGTCTTTTCCCTTTTTTTTTTTCTCTCCACTTTATTTGTTCAAATCATAATATTGTGTATCTGGACGTACTTGATGGTGTGATTATGGAAATGTTAACACTTACTATTATACAGGCCATGGTGTTTTGCATGATTTGGTTAAAACCTCGATAGGTGATAATAATATTTTTATAGAAATAGTTGATGTTTTGCATTGCAAATAGTGACGTCTAAAATGTAACTATGCATTTTAAGACAATCTCAATTGTTATCAATGATCATAGACGTGTTGTGAAAGTCTACATATTGGGTTTCAAAAAATAGATACATTATAAGCAACATTTAAACGCTTTTTTTTACGTGTACTGTGATGCTTCTACGCTCAAGGGTACATTTTTGTCACCTTATCATTGGTACTACTTTGGAAGCATATAAAAATATATAATCTATAGGATCGTTTGAAAGAGTTCTAAGGAAGTTCCTTTGCTGTGCTACGTTATAAAAAAAAATGTTTGGATGTGTGGATATATGTATATAAGAACAGTGAATAAGTGCCCCTAGTAGTTCTTCGGTAAGAATCGCATTTGAAATGTCTTAATTTTAGGACATTATAAATGGTGCAATTGGTATAATAAACTATATTGCGAAAGACAAGTTATATAGGAATAAACAGAGTATAATATTCTACAAAATTTAGTAGCACTATTTCTGTGGTATAATGGCTAATGTTATAAAAATACGCTTTCATAAATCTTGATTGCATCGAAATTGTGGCATTATTATTTCGCAAGGCACTGCAATTTTAGTAGATATGTAGCCCATATTTTACTGAATGAGGAAATTAATATATTTTTTTTCATTAAGTGCCTGCGTCATATGAAAAAGGCTACTTGAATGCATAGAGAACATTGGGAACGGGAAATTTGATAAACACGCAACTAATATTTTTTATAAAATTACACTCTTCCTGTTTACTCCTATGTCTAGTTCTGCTGAGTTAAGAAAACGGGTTGTATTATTTATGTCCGTCTTTGTTCACTAACTTGTTAAATTGAACAATATGGACATATGCATACTTGCACCTGTACATGTACATGGAACACATTATAATAAGACTATAGGTTGCAACTCGTGCAAGGGATAATTATATGGTATAAAAACAACCAACTAGTGCTCTCATTTCCATGTATTAGATACTTATTGATTAGGAGAATATCTATAATAATAGGTTAAAACGGAAATGCACGTTAAAATAACAAACATGCATGCTACCGTAGTTTCTACAATTTAAGCGTTTCAATATTTAGAAAAATTTCAAAATGTTCTTTCATAGAATCCGTTTACAAAGTCAAGTACAGTTCCGTCAAAATGAAAATTTCAAAACAGATATCATAGAAGGTAGAAAAAAAAAAGCATAAAAATTAGACAAAAAAACCAAAAATAAAATAGTCATTACAACCTGATTTCTACAAGGGACACTTGAATGAATTTATTAAAAAGGACAAATGATAATTAAAAAAAAGCACAAATGTATTACAAGCAAATGTAACTATAAAAATAGTTACGTATTGGATTCATGAAGTTGAAGCAATGCTCTAAGTGAATACATATTTAATAACTTCATCTTATATGATAAAATCATATTATAAAATTATCTGTATTACAATTCTTCAAATTGTATAATCAGACAATATGCTTTTTTTAAGTCCTTATGTCCTAATAATTTCTACCAACATATTTCGCTTATTGCACAATTTTATGTTGACTATTGTGACGAATTTCCTTTTTTGCTTCATCATCTATGAGCACATTGTGTACATTTGTGTAAGCCATTATGATATGTTCCGTTTTGCGTTAGTTGATATTGATATGGGACATAACTAAACAAAACGTTGTTTGTATCCATGTCTATATTATTTCTGCTACTACTTTTTCGTTTTTTTTTCCGTAGAATAACTTCCTAAAAGGACAACACGATTGTAACATAGGAGTACAATTTTATACAAGAAATTTATTTATCGATTATAGGAATTCCATGATTACAAATGTCACAGAGAAATATATATACATTTCAACACATACATATTTAATATATTAAATTTAAATGTACATAAAATTTTGGGTATTAAAACAATTCACATGAGCACCAAAAATGCATACTTGGGATAATTTAGTATTTCGTGCAAGTATGGAACATCACATATGTAGTATTTTAAATGTGCTACAATTTAGTCAAAATGTGATGTATATTGGCTTGGACAGTGCGGAGTAGACGTTTTCCTATAAGACAAAGCAGAGTTGTCACATTCTAAATGTGAACACTTTTTAGGAATGTTATAAAGTGTACAATCATCAGATACGGCAGAAGTTTTTTTTTCTGCTGGATATATATTAACGATGAGGTAACCATTGTTAAAAAAGCAATTGTATTTCTTATTTACGTAAATAAATCAAGTCTTTATATTTTTCTTTTTTATCATCTATTGCACTACGTAAATGATCCCTCTTTTCACAGTAATCATATAATTTCTTCACCATGTTCGTTGAGAATGTGTATAATCTTTTTCATCTCGTTCATAGCTAATTTCCCAAAGTATAGAAAATAATGATTCTATATTTACTTTTATTTTTTCAATAAAAGCTTTAAATAATTCTTGAACTTCTTTATATTTATATAATAAAATCGTTTTATATAAATGTGGAATATGAAATAGTTAATGTGGTAATTGAAATTGCCATAACATTTTTGACTAATACTGGAATTCCCTTCTTTCGCTTTTTTTTTTTTATAATAATGTGAAAAAATTTCTGTAAGGTTTATATATCTTTTAGAAAAATAAGTTTGATCTTGTGTGTCCAGTGAAACATCTAGCAAAGAATATAAATTTATATAACTAGTAAAATCTTTATCAAATATTGATGAAGGAAAACCTTTATCCAATGATTTATAAATATTAAGGAGAGAAATAATAAAAAAAAAAGTAAATACATTTTAAGAATATGGGATGTTATTTGGATTTATATTGAATAGACTCTCATAATTTGGTTGATTCATGCAAAACATGACACTCCTATAATATATAAGCGTACGCATTTTGATTCAATAGGCAGGGTTCATATAAAGAATCGTCCGCTTTGAATTATGTAGAATTAAAAACAGTGTTAGGATTTACATAGAAAAATTATGTCAAATGATGTATGATCTCTATTTTTAATAATGAATTCTATAAATTGTAAGGTACAAACATGTGTATTTATTAATAGTTGTGTCAATTTTCTTTTAATAATGATAGTGAATATAATACGCTAATTTGCGGGTCCAAAAATGTCCTAAATTCAAAATAACAGTATACAATAGACGCATTAGTTATGTAATGCGTACGATATAGTTTCTAAATTTGCTTGAATTAAAAAATTGTATATAATTGGCATAGACAATAAAACCTATGCTTAAACTTAAATGTACAATATGTGGTATCTGTAGGTGGTAATGCACTTTTTGTGCAATTCATACATTTCTCTTTTTGAAAAATGATTATGTCCAATATCGTTTTACAACTGATTTTGTATTATGAAAATGAAATTTCGAATACAATAATTTTTTTTTTAAAGCGTAAAATTGCAAAAAAAATATTATTCACTTTTTCGCTTTGTTAAATTAACACAATTCGATAAGTAACGTATTTATGATTATTCATAAAAATGGCGTTGTCTACAAATACAATTCTTTGAAATACAAAGATTTCTGTCTCTAATGATGCGCTTCGCGTAATATAAATTATTGTTTTTTGCCAACTGTTTAACTTTTCACTAAAATATGTCTTATGGGTAGTGTATGCATATGTAAAAGAAAAAAAAATTATGAATAGCGCGCGAAATTGTTCTCGACAGAAAAATAAATAAAAAAAAACAAGATTACAGTATTTATTTACTATGCTAAAATTTTTAACGAAAAATCATTGTGATCGTTTAACGGTTACAGTAGTTTTATACAAAATTGTTCTCGCGCCCTTTGCGTCTTTAAAAATAAAATTAACATTTTAATTTAAATAAAAACAGAACACAACAAAATGAACAAATGCCTACATAGTATTCATGCAAATAAAAATGAGTTTTTTTAATCATTAGTTTTCACGACTCTTTTCTGTTCATTGATGTACAAAGTAATGATTAATAAAATGTTGCCACTACTTGATATTATATGTGTTTTCGGTAAAAACGAAATATGCATTAAGAAGGAATATCATGAAAATAAATGATTCCTTTCCTTTAATAATATTTTACAATAATCGTTAATAATTAGACTTACCTTGTCTAAGCTATTAAGTAACTTACAATATGTAGAAGTCATTTTATGAAAAAAATAGTGGAAAGGCCCTATAAGTTAAGAATCAAGTACAGTGTACTATTTTTAAATATAGTTTTTGTTTTTTTTGTAATTAACTGATTTCGAAAAATATGATTAAATTTTTAAAAAAAATTTGAATTTTTTTGTACCCTTCTTTTGTTAATATGAGCGGTTCACTCCTGTATACATAACAAAATTGCACATTAAAGAAATTGTGAAAATAAGGAGAAAGAAGCAGAATTAATTCACGTAGAAAATTTTTATATCTGAAAAAATAAAAATGTTATCGCCTTTTATCTTAATGAATATGTAATAAAAATTTAAAGTGGCATGTTATGGAAAAAGGTGCTAGGTCCCTCAAGAATGCTAAAATTGTTTCCTTTGTCCTTTTAACCTTGATATGGCATTATTACAGAAACTTGGTATAAAATAATATTATCTACAAATACACACTTATTTTAGTTCCTATATGAGTTATTGCTAAATTTATTGTTTCACTATACAAAAATGAATATCCTTTAGAATGGTATGAAAAAAAATATATATATTTTTTTTTCATAGCTTATATTTGATAGGTCTATTAACGGGAAGTATAAATCAGAGAGTGTATTAGGCTTAAGAAATAGTCGATTATTGGCAACAACTGAAGACATAAATGATGGATCTATTGCTGGATTGAACAAAAACATACCATGTTATACTGAAAACAGAAAAATTCATAACGAAGGAGAAGATGAATCTGCCAAAGTAGGAACGCACGTATCTAAAAATGAAAAAAAACAAAAAAAACTAAATAGAAAAGAAATGGAAGAAGATGTTACTGCCATTTTGGAACACCATAAAGAATTTGTGGAAAACGATTACTATAAGTGTAAATCATGCAAAAGTCAAGATAACCTTTTTAAAAGAAAGGTTTTAAAATTTTTTAGTTCTATAAATAAATATTTCGATAATACGAACCTTGATCAGCACTTATTTGTAAATTTGTCGCTTAAGAACAAATTCTTAAGATATGCGACATATATTGTACCTTTAATGTTCGCATGTGTCATTGCCTTTTTAACCAAATCAGGATGTTTGCCTTGTCTAACATTAGCCGTAATGGGCATACTAGTATTATATGAACATTAGAATTAGTTTTTATAAGGAGGTAAAATTTAAAAAAGGAAGTTCTAAATGAATTTATAAAAATAAATTTTTCTCTTTAGGAAAAATACTTCCATGTAAATTACTTAGATTATTTTCACTGAAATAAACGCCACATGTGTAAAAAAAATGTTCTGCCAAGTGGTACATTTTTTATGAAGAAAATGCTATGAAATTTTTTGAGATGTGACAAAAAAAAAGAGAGAGAACATGTCATTAGTCAGAATGAGCATTTTTATGTGTTATGGTATATTCTTTTGTTTGTTATAATATACTTCAAGATAACGTAACATTGTGATTTCATGTTTTTGTGCATTATTTTTTTCTGTCTTTTGTGCAAATGTTTCAGTTGACGATGCATTTTTTTTTTTAGAACAAATATGTTCACTGTCGTGTAGGTAAAATAATAAAAATATATTTCACTGTTAGCTTATGTGCGTGTGGCAAGTTCATTAATTTTCATTTTCTTCATAATTCTGCATTATCATTATCTGAAAATTTTACATTTTGTATGTAATCATAAAATGATCATTTGAAATATTAATTAATGGAAAAAGTTTTTGATGGTTTTAAAATCATGTGTAAATATTTGCTCCCATGCATTACATCGATGTATATTGTTACACATCGTGTAATTATTTTTTTTTTTTAGTCTATAAACGATTAAAGTATTTATACCTCTTAATAAAACGCATTCATTATAAAAATGTACGTAATGTACTTTTCAGTATTAGGACTGTTTTACATATGAACAAATTGGTATACGGTGAAGACCGGCTTTTATGAAACGTGGTTACTCATAAGAATTTATTTCGTACAGCTTTTTAAAAACATTATAGATAGATGGATTGAATATTACGTAATATGGTGAAGGATTGCCATGAAATGGTTTAAACGAATTAATTATATATAGACAGACTCAATTGATAAGTGAACACAATGCGTGTTGTTGTTACCGCGGTTAAGCGAATACTCTGTTGAATCACATGCTGATCCGGTAAAAATAGGTCCCTAGCAGCTATAACCAACTCATTTTAATCTTAATTACGTAATAACAAAGGAAAGATGAAAATTGTAAAGAAATTATATGGAAAGACTAAATATAACAAAAATGTATTTTAAAACAGGAAACCCTTTTCCCGAAAATTGTATCACATTGTTTCGTTCGTTTTTTTGCAAATAAAAGAAATGCATAAGTTTGGAATGACAATTGATTAATAAATTTATATAAATTTAATATTGAAATAATGGAGAAATTTTATTTGCGACTGATGTACCTTCTGATATGGCATATGTACTAACTCTTACAGTATTGACTCCGGAAGATCTAGTGGAAATCCATGAACTAGATTAATATGTCCAGATTGATCCACAAATAATTTTGTACTGAAGTGTGCACATCAGAAAAAACCGAAAGTGCTCACGGTTTCGGGGAATATCGTGTCATGATATTACAAGTGAAATGTATAGCTTAATTGAACGTGTGAAGAACCCTTATATTAAGGAAGAAGAAAAATAAAATATAATTTACCTCTAAGCCAGTGCATACGGTGTTTACGGGAGCCATACTATTGAAAGTAATTTATGTATTTTACATTTATTATAATGTAAATACAATTTTTATTTGATAATATGCGAAATGTATGTTATTATATGGCTCTATGTATGTGTTTCTGAAATGTATAACAATAATAAAAGTTTTCATAAATATGTTTTGCGTTTCATTCGCTTATTAGTTTACTCCTTTAGGTACATAGGTACGTAATAAAGATAAGAAGGGAACATAGCGATTGTGGTGGTCGATCTGTCCAAGGCTATGCAACATTAAACCATAAATCAGAGTATGATCATATAAAACCTGGCACCATGAGTTTTCATGTGGTTTATTTTAATGCATGCGTACCTTGAGATAAGTTTGAGGCTATTGACAAATTTGCTAGAATAATGGCACGGGAGGAATAAATTCATGTGCATATAATTCTATTTGATAAATGTATAAAAATGAGGATATATAAATGAATGTCTTCGCGGGCAGTGTAAATTATGGGGATTATGATTGTTATCGTTTGTATGAATAATTAGACCTAAGAATAATAAACAGATTGAACGCATCAATTTGTAGCAGCTTTTCATGTAATTTGATATATATGACATATACATGTGTAAATGGAAGGAGCACGTGTTTCGGTTTCTGTGAATGTATAAGAAGCATAACGTTCTGTATTATGATCTTGATAGAGTTTGCATGCGTTCTTTGTTATTTTCTGTTTTTATATTAATCTTTGAGGATCGTTTTAATAAATCATTTGTCACGCATGTTATATAGATAGAAACATCGGAATGAAGGGTAAAATGCATTTATGTTGCATGCACATAAATGGCTTTAATAGGAAAGTACTTCCGCAATTGTTTATACACATTTTCCCGAATGTTGAAAAAATCCTTATAGTATAAAACAACATGTACACAGTGAATGTGGCTGTATTAAATTCCTAAACAGTTGTTATGTATACTATGCATGTATCAGAAATTAAATGTTTTCTTGTTTCTGTTATTGTTATTGTTTCCCTTATTTTTGATAAAATAACTAACATTTCACACTTCTTTGATTATTAATGTCTGTTAACTTTCGTTAACTGCTTTTTAAGGCTGTAGATGTGTGTTCACATCTATTAACCTCTGTGACATTCCGTATTAATTTATACATACAGAATATTTGTTAACTATAAAATAATGGAAAATATACATGTTACATCTGTTGTACTCTATTATAGTACATTATAATATATGCATAGTTGGTTACACAGTAGTATAATAATTATGTTTTTAATTTTTTCTAGGGAACTATACCTCCACAGTTGGGGGTATGTTCATACCATAGACAACATAATAATAGTATGAAGTTCTTTTTTCTGTTCTGTGTTTATATATTTGACTATAATTATTCTGTTATTGCCTACTATTCTATAAGTATACTTACGATATTTTATACCTTCCTTGGATGTGTAACTACTTTTTTTAACTTTACGGCCGTGGTTACTACATCATATTTTGTTTTATATGATTAATTACATAATATTTACATGTTATATATTTTATATTTGTCTAGCATAATAATGTTTTTTATAATTACGCTTGGAACATTTCTTTTACGTATTCTACAAATGTATTCATTATTATAATATATATGGTTAATATTGTTATACGTTTACACATTTTTACTCAATATGATTTGCAACGTTGTGTATTTTAATTGGTGTTGCTTATAAATAAAGAAAAAAAATTGAAGCATATATCTGTAATATATACATGCAGATAATTAATTAATGTATGTCATAGTGCCATTCCCCTTAAGCATCGGAGTACACTCTATTGATATGACTGTGCAGTAAGTACTGAATACAATGTGCCATTCAATTCCATTATATAATTTATGCAATATAATACAACACATTCATATGTATCCACAGTATTTCTGTTTATGCGCTGTTCTTATGCGACAATACATGGTCTCATTGCGTTATCAGTATTATTTAATATGTATGCATAGAGCGATGAATACACTACTGTATAATAATTATGCAGGAGGAATCGGATTCACCTATATAATTCTTTAGCATAGACATTGTTCAATATGGAGCAAATATAAAAAGGATGATTCATAACATTATATATATAACGCACACTTCCACTTTGTACAATGCTATGTTACACTAGTAATCAATATAATAATATGTTGTATTGTATATATAATTGATATTTCTTTCATGATTGATAACATAATCGAAATGTATGAAATTGCTCATTATTTTCGTCTGCTAAATATATATGTTTCGTTTTCGTTGTACTAGTGTACGTTGTAGAAATTTTTCATATATACTCTAAAATTGAGAACATATTTTATAGGGCATATATTTGGATGTAGTGAGAAGAAGCACTGTACAAAAATTACACTGTTTTAATGAGGACTTGCACATTCTTCTATTAGAATAATGTGTATTCTGAATAAAGTGTAAATAGAATTATCATTACAATAATTGCTATTTAGAAAAATATAAATTTGAATTTATACCATTCCTTTATGCCTACGCGCAGACACTTCATTAATGTGTACTATATGTACAACATTAATTTATTACATAAAATATATAGTTCGTCGTTATGAACATTAAATATAGAATAAAGTAGAAATATTTCGTAAAACTTTTCGTACAGCACATTGTACGCAACTTAAAACATGCACTCTGTTGAAGGAAATAAATATGCAATAGGTCTTTTTATATATATTATTTATGTGTAACTGACATGTGTATGTTATTTCATGTAGTTGGCATATTTAATATGAATTGTTCTCTTCTAGTTCATTAATTGGTTCGCTGTTTATACGAATGCATCGAAGCCCCGTAAGGTATTGTATAAGGTGTACTGTCCTCTGTTCTACTAAGTGTTGCAGAGCTAGTAAATAATGAGTTCGTACTATAGAACTGATTTTCGAAGAACACATTTCGTCTTCTTCTTCTCCTTCGACCAGGTATTAGTGATCCAAATGGAGTAAACTGCATTTTAGGTAAATTACATGGATCATAGATGTATGATGTTTATCTTGTTTTGAGTGAAATATACGATAATACATGGTACATCTACTAAAATAATGAGTAGACCGAATAATTTAACCTTGTATAATACAAATAGAAGAAGCAACAATATTGTTAGTTTCATCACAGGACTTAGGACAACATTATGGAGATAATACATTATAGTACTGTTATTTTCTTCTATATCACAAAGATCAATTTTTATGTTTTTAAGATATTCTTCTATAAAAAAAGAAACATCCCTATTAGTAGATGACGGACTTTTGTCCGCAAAATTGCAATAATTTATACATTTCCTCTTATTCTTATATTCTTGTATTATATAATGGAGTTCACTGCGTAGGATAGGATTTTGAATTTTATCACATGCTTTCTCATACATAATATATATATGGGAACATTTTTTTTGACCTCTAGCTGTCCAAAGTTATGTCCTTATGATAGAACATCTCATAGAGTCCTATTAGATCTGCAGAGATTTTGAGTTTAACAGCATTAGAATAAGGGAACAAATAGTTCTGACATTCATACTGATTACCAGGAGTTATTTGTTTAAATTTCGTTAGAAATGTTTTGTACAAATCTAACGCCCATTTTTGATTTACCTTCTTTAATAAATGCTCGTATATCTAATAGTACACATATATGCATATATCATCATTATTTTTTGATGCAAAATAATCCCTTGCATCATGTAAATATTGCATGACTTGATTACAATTAGGATCGGGTAGCTCATTGTTGTATTTATGTTTTGACATTATCCCTTTACATTCTCTTTCATATGTCACTGTTTCTCCAGAATACTGTTCTATCTGCGCTTTATGTTCTCTGTATGAACTTACAAAATTATACTAATAAAGGGAAGGGATATATATATTTTGACATGTGCACATAGAGAACAGAATGTATCAATGAATATGTTTGAAGTTTCATCTTTATAATAATACAAATAAAAAAAATAAAACACAAAGGTTATTGTTAGAGGCAGGGTAATATATGGATTCTATTTACCATTGTCTGATATAATATAGTACTTTAATAATTCATATATATGTAGATAGAATAAACTTGTTATAGTATAAGTGTGTATTTTTATTGAGTATAGAAATTATTTACAAGTGTGTGATGTATCAAACATGTGTTAATTATATGAATATATTGGAAATACTATGGATGCATTCAATATAGGGTTGACATTTATGGTTTCATTTATATTACCATGACATGAATTAGATGTGCTGCAAACTATAAACATGCTTATTTTATAATTTTGAAAATGAGCATGCAGTAAGTGAATAGAAGAATATATATGTTTACATATAGAAACAAGAACTATTATTATAGCTATTTATTTCCATGCGAGTAATAATTTACAAGAAAAATAACTAATTGTGGTACTAGTATTTATAAATACTATTAGAACTTATGTTTATAATACATATGTGGGCATAGGGTAAATGTAAGAATATGTACAACAGGGTATTTTTTGAAATATTAAAAAAACATTTGTTTATCATAAAATAGACATCCGTAGACCATTCCGAATAGAGGAATATGATAATGTTAAAAATGTGAATGTGGAAAATATTTATGTACTATACATTGAATTTTCTCGTTAAATGAATAAATCTTTGTAATATTTATACCAGGTTCCTCACATAGCAAACGTATAGTGAGAAATTGATTATATACAGTTGTTTTGTTTTCTCAAATGTTGTGCTTAAATTCATGCACTTTCTCAGCATATATCTGCGAAACCGTGAAAATTTTTCCGTTGTAGCGGCATTTTTTTTAATCATATGCAACACCATTTATATGGTTTTCTGTTATACTTAAAATGGTTCTATATGTTATATAATTGGTATGCTTTTTTTTATCGTACACATATATATTATTTACAATAGGGGCATTTTTTTTTCGAAAAAGGGAAAAATGGGATTGGATGATGGAAACATTTGTTCCATATTTTGTAGTTAAGTGAACACCACTACTGTAGAGTTAGGGAAATTTATATATACGGAGATTTTAAAGGAGCTAACATATATATCCTAGTGTAATAAAAATAAAAACAGGGCATACACGTGGTATGTTTTTTTCTTTGCACTGAAGAAAGAATCAAATATATAGGTGTGTATTTATCGCTAATAGGACAAGAATATTTTAAGCAATTTATAATATTTAATTCTTCACATTACTTGAAAAGAATGATTTGTTTCCTTTAAGGTTCAAATTATGCATTAAAGAATGTTGATAGGAAGGAAATTTTGTATTTAAAAAAGAAATTAGAGCTTTTTGTACATTTTCATTATATTTCCTTTTGTTACATATCATAAAAATTAAAAGAATTATAACAAATTCTGAGGTAGCTATCGCTCTATGTTAACACATAAATTTATAACGTGCTGTACATATTCGACATATGTTCCCTACGAACTTAAGCAAGGATATCATTATCCTCCATTATAACTGAAACTATTCGAACTCTATAGAAAAATAAAATAATTGTATAAAACTGCTGAAGGGAAAATATCATTCAGTGTAGAACATTCATCGCAACTAACACTGTCCCGACAAATTATTCGACATAAGGAATACAAACTTAATATGTGCGTGAACAGCTTCCATAGGGGAAGGGGCGGCAGAATATCCAACAGTGGACCGTAGTCTCCTCTTGGGTTATGTATTCATACATACACAGGGAAAAATATGCACCGCACTTCCTATTCCATGCAGGAACGATTGCCCTCATTCTCATGACCATAATTTCATGTTCATTTTTGTAGGCAAAATTAATAGGAATCTTATTCCACGGAAAAAATGCTCTACAGGGAAATTTGTATGAAAGGAAGAAAGGAAAAAATTCAAAATTCCCTAAACAATATTGTTCCTTAAATTTAGTACTAAAGTGCTGTAGAAAAAAATTTGCCCGAAGAAAGATACACCACCCTGAAAATATTCTACATTCATGTAAAAAAATGGGAGAACAGGAATCTACGGAAGTTTCCAGGAAGTAGCAGTCCAATAAAAATTTTATATATTATTGTTCACAAATATAATAACCAGGAAAGATTTTCCCCAAGAGGAAGAAAGGTTGCGCACTAAATGCATTTAACACAGAAAATTATTAACGGACATTCTACCAAGATAATTTTTACAGAAGGAAAAAGGGGAAAAAAGGATGTACATAGCGTCCTTCCTGCATGTGTTTACATACGGTATAACCTACATATGAGATATAAAATGTCCACATACGAATTACTCCTGTGTACAATTCTAAACTTTAGTGAAAAAGAAATTAGTAGCCCCTAAGTGGTCATAACGGGTTGCCGGAGAAAAAGTGCCCAAAGGAATTTTGTCGCCCGGCAGGAAATTGCACCATGGAAACCGGGCTAACACCGGTTGTCCCAACAGACCTTTCCGTAATTAACATGAACATAGCAATATGTTGCGAATATGTAAAGGTAACTACTCCTTTAGACAGGAAAGGTAAGGAACAATATTGATATATTCTCGATCATGTCCTCAATAATAGCACATATATGTGCTATTGGAATTACATACTTTCCATAGAATTCCACCACAGGAGCTACGCTTATGAATGTTACACATTTATTCTTATTGGTACAAGACAGAACTGCACAGAAGTGTTGTCTACATTAAATTGTTAAAACACTCATGGATAACAAATTTATATTAAATATTTCCAATTTATCCTCTCCAAAAAAAAAAAATGGCCATTCCGTTGCTGTCAGAAATGAACTCATTCGTAGCCAATTCAGTTTGTTCATACATGATCCAGCAGTTTTTTCTGAAGCAATGCAAGAACCCATAGAACATTACTGCACTATGCTCGCATGCCCTAGTACGCAGCTATTATACCATATACACAGTTCAGCATGCAGTTCGTGTATAATTCTTCTTCTCGTTTAATACAATTTTATTCTGTTACCAGGAAAAACGCATTACCTTAGAAAAACATGAATCTGAATACCTAAGAATAGTTCATTCCGTATCCAATCATATTTCATGTACAATCCAATGAATGCTTGTTCCGAACTTCAAAAGTACATATAGAATGCTATTGAGTTGTGCGTAATACTATAATTGTAATTAGCATTGCAGTCTCCCCTTTGTATATAGGTGAACAGAGCTTACAGTACTATATGAACACGCATACACCATTGTAATCCATACACTGTGCACATAATACTTTTCCTAGTATCTATAAAGCGTGTGCCCTCCCTCTAATATTTACTATTCGTCAATATTCTTTCTCCGTACTACATAGCACAATCGCTTATGATGCGTTTTACGCGTTGCCCATTCATTCCTTATAGTTCCCGCATAGGAATATTTCCCACTCCTATATCCTATTTGTGCTCCATGTAGTAACTCATATAAACGTATACACCATACGTCCCTTTCCTCCAGTATGCTTTATGAATTCAATAATACAATACTGTACATTGCACGCAATCTTCTTGCGCACGAAAATATGCTTCTACTATTAGCTGCTCATAGCACATACAACTGTCCGCACCACCTTAGCATTACTCTATTGCTACTGTGGGAGACGATGAGTGCACTATGAGATAACATCAATACATTCTAAAGAATCCGTGAACAGAACAGTACTATGGCGCATCCTACGTTGTGCAGCGCCCTAAAAATAGGTTTCCTGGGAAAAAGAAGAAATGGTACTTCCAACGGTATATACACATTCGTGAAAGCGCCGCATGTGCTTTCTGCGCACTGTGCGTGATACAATATCCAATTGTTCTTATATTTCTATGATATTGCAGCAGAAGTACCCTATGGTATAGTAGCGAGACAGCGAGTGACACTCCACATTAAGGATTTATGAATCATATGTTATGACCACGGGATGAATATGTCAGCATAGTGCATATAAATTTTCGCTCTTTCACAAGTTGGACGTAATGGAAAATTCAGAAGAAGGGGGGCACGCCGTGGCCGTTTCTTTCATTGTACAACCGGCACCCCTTATATAATTCCTCTATCATAATAACCTTATGGTTCAGCAAATTCTTAGATAGATATTCCGGGCACCTGCTCACAGTACAAAAGAGCATTTGGCTCCTTACAATCCTGCCATTATCTGTCATGGCAGGAGGAAATGTACAGTTCGCAATGTATTATAAACACTGGATACTTTAATACTATTCCTCGTGGACATGATCTATGCGCGCGTGTAAGATGCCCGAAGTACGATTGTCGTTATACTGTTAGCCTATGTGCCTTGTGCTTCTACTTGTGTTTATACACACGTTTCTTTTTCATACATGGAAAAAAAAAAAAAAAAACAAGGATCACAGGATAATGGAGAACACAAAATTTCCTTCTTGTGTAAGACTAAAATTGTACTCATGATAAATGGTAATACAGGTGTATTAACCAAAAACAGCGCTGGATTATAGCTTCACATTATGAACAGAAGGAGAAACAGGGCAAATATACACGAATAATAGTACTAAACAAATTTTCTCAAGCCGAAATTTTTAGAGCCCGTAAGGAGTAGCCAATTTCATATTTTTTATTTTAATGAAATGTGTATGCTACCGACCGGCAAAATTTTAACATGATGAGCGGGCATTTGTGTGGTCGTACGCACACCTCAACTGACGCGACATTGTATTCGCACATTGGAGATGCATAATTATAAGAATAAGACCGTCAAAAGGTTATGGAAAAAATTGAATACAGAAAGAATTGTGCTTTCGGATTAATTAAAAAGGGCGGCATAATACACAGCCCATATATGCGATTCGCGCGGTTACGAAAACATATTGGGCGCGATGCTGCTAAATCGGTTGTACATTTCCCGTGGTACAATTTATGGGTGCCAATGCAAGCGCACGCCCTATGTGTGTGTGCACAATGCGTATATATGTGATCGCACATCTGAACATGTAAATTTTTTACTTTTATTTTTTTTCTTGTACGTATAGTTGTACAGCTATAATGGACCAGGTTTACCCCAACGTCTGTTATTTACTATTTCTTTCGTATAATGTTTCCGAAAATTCGTTTTATAGATGCTTATCAGTATAGAGCTGTACATTAATATTTTTGTCCTTACGTGAAATTCACATATTGTACGGCATTCTAATATCATATAGTGCACATAAAATAGAAGAAGCAAAGTATGTTGGGGCTCTCTTTTCTTATTTTTTTGTTTGGTACTATGGGAGCAAATTTCAATTAAAACAAGAATAAATTACTTTAATAAGGCCCGGAATAGAAGAGGACGCTGTTATTAGTTAATTTCTTCTTTTTTTACAGATGAGGTCCTTTTTTTTACGCGTGAAGTCCTTGTTTCCCTTCTAAGCTCTTTTTTTATTTTTTTTTCTATATAATTATGTTAGCATATTTATCAATTCTATAATGTTCTAATATTGCGCGCATAATAATATAATAAACATAATATTCCTTTCCGTATTTTTCTTTAACCCCCTATGCATACATTGCAATTATTTTCTAGGCACTATATTTATGCACACCTAAGATGCTGCATATGTACCACCGTTTTCTAAATAATTTTATATAGAAACGGAAGCTTCGTCTTACGCCCCAGGTCCAAGTTTTATAACGCGTTCTTTCCGGTGCATTCTTTACAACATTATATACGCCACTTAAAAAAATTTTGAACCCATAGAAAAAAATTAATACATATATGATGTTATATTGTACGTGAAAGAATATATTTGTACTTTCCGAATATTTTAATGCATAGTCATGTTTCTATGTGAAAAGATCTTTGTACGTAATATATGTTTACACATAGTAGTATTTGTAAGTAGAAAAAGATACACCTAACAATCTGAATATACTGTATAAAACATTTATTACCAAAAATACATAAATACCCTACAAGGGGCGTGAGGCTGGCTACACCTATAAACCAAAAGCTACATATTGTAAAAAGTATATAGAATACAGCAAGAAGTGTAATCTATTAAATCTGTATATACTATTCGGGAATGTATACTATTCGAACAATATTTGCTACGAGAAATATGTACACTATTTAATATTCTTCTAATAGTATGAATAATAGTGTATATGTGAAATTCTACCATTACAGCACACTGGTAAACTCTAATGATGTCGAGGATGAGGCAACAGTCGAACGGTGCAATTTCTTTGGGGAAGTTATATTTTTTCGGTATCCTGATGTTGTTTGGGAACGATTACTCGAATGAGGTAATATAACAGTTCCGTTTGGGTTCGTTCGCGTCCGTTCCATGGTCAGCAGCGCCCTGGAGCTTATGCTGCTAGTATTAATTTTGCTTCTCAAAAAAGAGGAGGAGAAACGTTGTGATTAGTGCGTAACAATATATATATGTGTACCGTGCAGGTTTAAATGACCGCGAACAAAAATTTCTCTTATTTTTAGGATACCTATGGAAAACCGTACAAGGCAGGCCATATGCACCATATATTAAATGTCAGATATGGCAGATTATTAATGGATGAACCTAATATAGAAGCACTACTTCAGGAGAATAATACCCTGCTGGAGGAAAAGTTCATGGGATCAGTGGATGCAAATGGCGAAACTTACCTGCAGGACCGTTCCGATGTAACAAAGCATGGTGATGAGTCTAGCTCACGATCTAGAAAGAGTAGTCCTCGCGACAGTTCAAGGAAAAAGTCGAAAAGTACCATGGATCGTTGTAACGTGGACAAATCCAACGAATCCTTAAATTTGAATAATTTTGATGAGGATCAAGGCAAGGAAAAGTTTGGTGGATCATCGATTTTTGGCAGCACGGAGAGTCTATTTGAAGAACGAGATGATGATGATTTAGGCCATGACAGAAAGGTTGGCGAATCTACTCATTTTGGCAGCATGGACAGTATATTCCCAGAAGCAGCCGATGATAATCATGTTAGCGATGACACAAAGATTGGTGCGTCCACGAATTTTGACAGCAGGGAGAGTCTTCCTAAGGAACGAAATGTGGAAGGTAATGATAAGCGTAAGAATAAGTCTGAGCATCAACCTAGAGATCGAACCGGAGTAAAGCCTGGAGTTCATCGTGAGGCACAACGTGGATGTCCACATGGAGTACGATCTGAAGGTCCATATGCAAGGGAAACCGGTAGTACGCATATAGAAGGAATTGAACAGAGTGAGCGAAGTAATGGGATGGCCCGAAAAGGATCTATCTTTTCTCGCATTGCTAATTATATAAGAAAGATTGATTCCAAGTATCAGGCGATGTTGGTGGATATACTACGGGAAGAAATGGAGAAAAATTCTGATTTTAATGAGAAGGCACCGAACTTCAACAATAGAAATGAATTCAAGTTTGTATCACCAGTTTTGGGAGCATTTGTGTTTTCCTTGCTTATACTTATAATAAGTATGAAGGCTGCGTTTTTTCTTCCTGTATTGATAACATCAATAGTCGGATCAATAACATATGTTACATGCAGATACAAAAAAGCGCTTAAGCTTGTAAAGTACGAACAAAGTAGAATCAGAATGGTGCGAAGAAAGTCAAAGCAATGTGATACCGAAAAAATAGAGTAGCAGTGATACCTGAGGGCGATGACAATGTTGTACCGAAGGGGTAGCGAACGAGAATATGAAGGAAGTATAGGAGAGATCTACATTGGGAGAAAGAGAAGGAAGGACACCTATATATGGTAAAGGGAAGTATTACCTGGGAATAGGCAGCAAAATTACGCTGCAGTAGGAGCAATTGTTCATAATATAAGGAAGGATAATTCTCATAGTTCTTTGAATGCGAATCGGGAAATTGCGTCAACCATAGAATTAGTTGTCCTGTACGGCACCTGTGCAATGTATAAGCTGTGGGTGTAGTGTATGTTGTACATGCTCTCTACATTTCTCTTTGTTCTTCTTTTTTTTCCTTTGTTTTTTTTTCTTCTACTACCTTGTATTAAAAGTACAGAACAATTTTAACATATGTACTCCTCCATCCTTTTTGTTTTCTACCGTATCGGTTCTTTTCGTATTTTTCCTTTTTGTATTAAATTCACTCCATTGCAACAATGCACCACATCACGTAGGTTCAATGGTGAGGGATTACGGACTGTAGATATGATGTTCGTGCGATGCACTGATTGTGTCCGCGTTAGGTTCAACAATGAACGGGGTACACTGCAATGATATGTTCTTGTACGAGGCGCTATCAACAGCGTAGGAAGACTATGGAATGTTTGTATCATAGGAGTGCATGTGATACGTGTACTCCATTATTATAGAATGTAGAGGTTTGTTCTCACTTTGTGCGTAATATTCATTAATGAGAGTATGGGTGTAAAATGGTGTTGTGCCAGAATGCATATGCCAGACTTGTACAATGATTTATATTGTAGGATGTTATTTTATGCAAAAGGATTACCGTAAGTGTATACAGCAGTGTGTACGGCGTCACGGACGTGAATAAAGTGTGTACAGCAGTGTGTACGGCGTCACGGACGTGAATAAAGTGTGTACAGCAGTGTGTGCGGCGCCGCCTCCGTAGGTCGCTCCAAAAAACAGCACGACAAGAAACGCACAACAAGGAGAAACAAAAGAATGACCACAAGCGCACGACGCATGTGAGTGGCGCGACGTCGCAGACTTGGATGGAGTGTACGACGTGGGTACAGCAGTGTGTACGACGTCGCTGACGACACGTCGCGTCTCCGCGAGTCAAGCAATGCAGCGAATGTATGTTACCACTAGAAAAAAATGTTACTTAAATCTTTGGTCAAATCTTTCAGTGTGTCTAGGAACTGTGTGTCTCCTTGTATGGTACTGAGGATCTGTTGGGTCAATTGGTGTGTGGTTTTCTTTAAGTCTATCGTGTTGTTAGTATTTCCTGCGAGCAGCGCATGCGCGTTTTTATCCGTGAACGGTTGTTGTGGCTTTTGTGATGCTGATGGTGGTGTGGATGGTGTGCTGTTGCTTACACTACTATCCGCGTTGTGTTGTGTTTGTTGTTGCGTGGCCGCTTTCGACGGGTCCAATGGCGACGGCCCGGATGGGGTGGATTCGTTCGTGTCGGATTGGCCGCCGTGCGCAGGTGTATGCAGTTCCGCCTCGTCATCTCCTCCGTCGTGCTCCTCATCGTCCTCGTCGTTGACGTCGTCCAACTGCTCCTCCTGCAACACTTTGTCCAATGTTGCGTCGTCCAACTCGCTTCCATCTGCGTTTGCCTCGTCGTCTGCGTCGTGTGATGACGACGGATCGGTTTCTTCCATAAAATCTGGCTCTTCGTTTTCTAGATATTCGATTTCGGGCAACACTTCTTCGTCTTTATCGATAAAATTGTCAGATGGCTCCTTGGACATGTCGAGTAGTTCTAATGCGCCGTGCTGCGAGGTTGATTCGGAGGGTGCTGTGTCCGATGATTTCGACGCGTCGTTTGTGGTAGCGGAGGGTGTTGTTACAGATCCTATTCCCCATAAAGGGATTTTATCCAATTCTGTGTCCCACTCATCCTTTATGGTTACACGAGTGGCAGGTGCCCCCGGGTGAGTAGAGCCGATACCGGAGGAAGCAGGGGTTTGGTGACCAGTGGAACCATTACCAGAGGATTGACCTCCTCCACTGCCTTGGGTAGTACCATCCCCACCTTCTTGTCCTTCCCCACCAGAAACTCCATCTGCCAAATCAGCATCATTGAAACTGCCACTACTACCCGATTGATTTGGGTGCGGGTTGGGTTTTGGTTTGGGTGGATTGAGAGGAGGGGGGTCGTCCCCGGTACTAACCTTGCCGCCACTAACAACGGTGGCCCCTAGGGCGCCGGAATCAATGGGTTTACCATCTGGCGGTGCGGGGCCTGTTTCACCTTTTCCACCGACTGGACCCACTGCACCAGACGGGCCGGTTTCACCCTTGTGCCCATTGTTACTGACATCCTGCGATGTTACTTCGGTGTTGTCGGAGTTAGGCGCCTGAGGTGGTGCCAGTGCCGTTGGTGGTGTGTCCCTCCCTGATGCATCCGGCCCTGATGATGGTTCTGACGGTGTTGATACTGTTGGTGGTTTCGGCCCTGGTGCCGGTGCAGATGGTGCTGGTGGGTCCGTGGCTGTCTCTTCGACCGCTTCTGGTGTTGTAGGTGATGCTGCAGCTGATGGTTCTCCTGCACCTGGTGGTACTGGTCCCGGTGCGGGGGCGGGTGCCGGCGGTGAATCCTCCGGACCGTTACCTGTCGTGATCTGTGTAGTTCCAGTACCTGTGAGTTGGAACGAAAAGGAAGAATATGGACATGACTCCGGTGTTGTGCAGTGGTTGCTCATGGTAGGCCACACGGTTGGTGCGTGCGGTCGTTTCACGGCTGACCTCTGGTCGCGTGACGAGGCAGCAGACGGACGGGGGTCGGGTGCCACCCCGGGAAAAGACTCTCGCTCTCCCACCCACACACAACACACAACACACAACACACACAACACACACAACACACACAACACACACAACACACACACAGTGTGTGTGTGTATCTGCGTCTGCGTCTGCTTCTACGTCTGTCGACGTCTCTACGTCTCTACGTCTCTACGTCTTTCTATCTGCCGCGATGACTCTCCCCGGTCGCCCCGTCGCTCTCTCTCCACTCATTCAGGTGTTTGCATAGTGGTATATGTGTTTGTGTGTGCGTACTGCACGTGGTTGTTTCATACTACGTATTTCAAGCACTTCTTTTTGTGTTTTGTGGTATTTGCTGTATCATGTGTTCATCAAAATACATGTACTTACCTTTAGCCTTGTGGCTAGCTTCGGATCCAGTGTCATCCTTCCAAGAACTCCACTCTTGAAGAGATTCCTTCTGCCACTGTCCCCAGAAGTCCGGTTCGCCGTTCTTTATGTTCGCCGCGTCGTCGTTCGTTTGCTTCGGAGCGTCGTGCGAATCCGTTGTATGACCTGCACTCGATGTACCTGCAATAACGCCACTGTTGTGTTGTTGTTGTGCTGCCGTTGCCGCTGCCGGTGATGGCGCTGCCGGTGTTCCCGCTTGCATGTAGTTGTCTTGTGTGTTTCCATGTCTTAAATAACCATTTGGCATAATCACCTGTTCG